CATTCACATTGCCACTAATCCTATGTTTCATGAGAGGACCAAACATATTGAGTTGGATTGCCATTTCGTACGAGACAAAGTATCAGCTGGGTTGATTAAACTGCTCCCTGTGCGTTCGGATCTTCAACTTGGTGACATTTTTACTAAGGTTGTTTCTACTCCTTCTTTTTCTCATTTGTTTAACTAATTTCTCATTACTGTTGTATGGCCTATATATATGGCTACCTATTGATAATTAATATTAAGCAAGAAAAATGAAAAGGTCGTCTTATTCAAAACCCCAATTATGAAACCCCTTCTCTCCCACTTTTCTCTCTCACTTCACACCTTGGAACGCACCGTTCTTATAGAGAGAGAGGCGCTTTCACATCTTCTTAACCCGAAATGGCAAATGGCTGGGGAGAGGAAAGGTTCCTTTTTTTAGGGTACCCCCGGGAACAGATCCAGTGGAGACGGGGTGGGGCCTGTAGCTCAGAGGATTAGAGCACGTGGCTACGAACCACGGTGTCGGGGGTTCGAATCCCTCCTCGCCCACAACCGGCCAAAAAGGGAAGGACTTTTCCCTCTGGGGGTAGGAAAATCATGATCGGGATAGCGGACCCAAAGCGATCTTGTTTCCACGCAGTTGTTTTCTTCGTTAAAACTTTTGTGATATTGCGGGAAAAGTCAGTGTGGAAACTATACCTTATGCATATGTTGTTTGACTACTAYCATTCTGGTGTGTCGTGATCCTACTACATTTGGTTGACAAGGTAACTCGTAGGATATATTAAATCTTAAGTAGGTGGCCACTATGATTTGAACTCATTCCCTTTAAGATCACGTCAAAACAAACAACTAAGACTCTCCCGAGTGTCAATCTCCAGAACCCCTTTCACAATGATCTTGAAAATTCTTCATGTTAAAAGAGATTTGATAGCTTCTCTATGACAAGGGGATTAAGCTTTTCACATTTACTACTACATTTATCAAATGATTGTCCATCTTGACTACCTTAGTGAAATCACAAGTGAATGTATATATATAATTTTCATTCATCCAAGTTAATCTTTCAATGTTTGTGGGTCCCCAAAAAAGGGCTTATACTCAAAATCCTCCCTAAAAATAAGTTTTCCAGCAAATATTTTTTAATTCTAACTTTATATATATAATTTTTCGATCATGAAAATTTAGAAGGTCAAATTGGCGAGAAATCTTGTTAAGGATCTCATATTAAAAAGACATGAGTTATTCCTCACATTGCCAATTAATTTAATAAATATTTTAAATCCTATTACATAGTACTCCTTTGAATCTAAGACGGAAGCAAAAAATAGATAATTATATTGCTCATTTATTTCTTTACTCTGACATAGATTTATACTAAGGGAGATTTGCTCTCTTAAACTTTAAGTCAATTCTATTTTTSGCTTTTGAGCTTTGAAATGTTYTGTTTTAGTCCCAAACTTTTCATAAAAAATATGTCATTCATTGATGTTAATTTCTTAAGAAATTATTTTTAGAAACTCATCATATGTATATCTCTTGTTCATTAACCTAATCAATAAATGTTTATAAATTAAAAACAACRATATTTAATTATTTGATGCCCTTCTTGATTTTCCTATCACTTTTTTTTTTGGCCTTTTTTCSCTTAAGAGAAAAAAGTGCTAAAAAGTTTCTTTGCCCATTTTGAAATAAATCATAGTGAGGGTTGACCAACTCCACCATACCATGGGAAGCACTATGAAGCACAGTCCAAACTAATTTGACACCACCACCCTTATTCTTTATTATTTTAATACASATGATAGAGATTCGAACTCAAGTTGAAAATAGGTATTTTAATCAGTTAAGCTAAAATTATGTTATCACCATACCATTATTTTTATATTTACGTGGACTCAATTAGCTTGGTATAATACATCAACGTGTACCTCATTACTTGCTTGATTATGATTAATAGTATCATTGGTTTCATAGACAAAATGAACCTTTTCAAGTTTAAAAAACTCTCTTTTAGTCCATGTATTTTTAACTTTAATTCATTCGAGTCCATATACTTTCTTTTAAAATGTTTGTTTTTGTCACTTTTTTTTTTGTTCATTTATTTTCATTTTCATATTATTTATTGCTACTAAAATTTTAGTATAACAATTTACTGATTAAATTTCTTGTTATTCTTGAAATATAGCATTAAATTTATATTCTTGAAATGTAGCAATAAATTTGTATTTGTATTAAAATTTTATAGGTAGGAACCAAAATATGGTCTATTTTTTAAAAATACATACCTGAACTAAAATAAACAAAGTTGAAACTATAGGACTAAAATAAACCTTTTGAAAATACATAAAATAAAATCTAAAATACAACAATAAGAATAGCATTTAAATATATATGTTTTTTTTAAATAAAAGAAGGAGCGTTTACTTTAAAGCTCAAACTGCTCAACTATTTTTATGTCAAAAATAAATAAATAACTATCGTGTCAAAAGGTCGAAGAATTTCTTTAGATTTCAATCATTTCATTAGGCTTGAAGATAAGGTTAAGAATCCACCCATTTATTTTATTTTATTAAAAATGCATAATTTTCCACATAACATATATAAATGTCCCTTTTCTTCATTATGAGAATTATTTAATTTTATTTTTATATACATTTTTCCTCAATMTCTTAATTATTTTTTTATCAAGTTCCTTTTCAATAAGGTAATATGACTTCTAAATACAGTTGACATCCTTTTAAATCACTTAATTAMTTGATTAAGAAATTCAACAAATCTTACTCAAATAAAGAATCCACCTCCTAAAGCATTATCCTATATATATATAGATATATATATAATCATTTGCACAATGAGTTCCAAATATAAATAGATTAGTTCATGATCTTCTTGATGAAACACCCAATTAGAATTTCTCCCAAAACAAATTAGAAGAAAATGGCAGAGGGTACTTATTGTAATTTGACCCTCATTTTTTACTTCCTTCTTGTTTTTGTGGTAAGCTTTCTGAATCCATAATGTAAACTTCCCCAATTTCATTTCATCTAAAAACATTAATTCTTTTTTTTTTTTTTTCCTTTCTGCAGAAGGACTCTAATGCCATGATGATACAAGAAGTTGATAAAGAGATGGTTGGATCGTCCAAACGACATGTCGAAATTCAGATAACGAGCAAATTAGATCCTTCTCTCTATGTTTTCTTCACTCCAAACGATCTAAAACTTGGAAAAACGATGTCCATCTTCTTCCCAATCAAAAACCATTCCCAAATTCCCAAACTTCTTACCAAAGAAATGGCTGATTCCATCCCTTTTTCAGTGGCAAATCTCTCTTATCTTCTTGAATTCTTCTCCATCCCCAAAGGCTCTCCCCAGGCCAAGGCTATGGAGTACACTCTCACACAGTGTGAGCTTGAGCCAATGAGAGGAGAGACCAAATTCTGTGCTTCCTCTTTCGAGTCCTTGTTCGATTCGACACGTGGCGTTTTCGGGTTGGAGACCCGAGTGAGGGGCATGGCCACTAGGTACCCTAGGAGCTTCAAAACCGAGCTGCAAAACTACACCATATTGGAGGAGCCCAACAAAATTTGGGCACCAAAAATACTGTCTTGCCATACCATGCCATATCCTTATTTGGTGTTTTATTGTCACAGTCAAATGAGTGACAACATGTTGTACGAGGTTGTTCTTGAGGGTGCAAATCGCGACAGAGTTAAGGCTCTGGCTATTTGCCACTTGGATACTTCTGAGTGGGATCGTGATCACATCGTGTTTAGAGTGCTTGGTGTTGAGCCAGGTGCCTCATCCGTTTGTCATTTCTACCCTGCAGATAATTTAATTTTGATTCCTGACTCCAATAATTAAGACAATAGGAGTGGTATGTTTTTGAGAGGTTTGTGATATTGAAATGATGTGAAGTTTGTGTTTGCAACTTGACTTGYTTCTAAGTTGGATCTAAATATATGGATAAATTACGGTTATTTAGAAATGGTTAGCGTGGAGTAACCCTAATTGATTGAGCAATATGGTTATAGGCTTACGATATGTGACCTCAAACTATGTGTTGCCATACATGATAATTTAGTCCAAATAGCAATATAAAGAGTATATAATACCGTAAAAATTGCAAACTTATCTCAACGACGTAGCTCATATGACTCRGTTTGATTTGGGGGATGATAGTGTCAAATACAATCGAGACTAAATATGACAAAACAACAATATATCTTCTCATTTTCTAATAAAACCGTAATAGAAGTGTAACATATCACTAGAATAATCATATATATCTTGAACYCAATTTTGATTGGGCAATGTTCTCCATGTTCTTGTACGTGGATTTAGATTCAATTTTCAAGGAAAATTTCCTAACCATATTTTTAAAGAAAATTGGAAGTTGTCATTTTGAACCCAAATATTTTTGTTTTTTTGTTTTTGAYTGCTATGTAGTTGGGAAAGAGAAAAATATAAACCTTCTTCCAATGGTAAGATTTCTTAAATCCACATGACAATACTGGTCTAGATCATTTGACGACCTGATAAAGCTTATAATGTTGGACTAATTTGAGCACAAATCACCTGGTTTAGGTAGATACTAAAAAGTCATGGTCATAAATTTGATCTCCACCCCACATGTCATGCTAAAAGAAACAAACAAAAGAAAGAGTTTATAGCGTGGGACTTCAAAATGTTGAAATCTAATGCAAAATCACGTCTATAAAATGTACTGTTTCGGATGAATTTTGATGCAAAAGTAGTGTTTTTTAGAATGAATTCTTTCATTTTTTTTATAATAGAATATTAAACAATAAGATGATTAATAAAAATTAAAGGTATTACGCACGTCAAAACAGTTTTTTTTTTTCAGAAATGATATTAAATTTTAGAACAGCTTTCGAACATGCTTTCAGTATATATATTTTTTAACATGCTTTCAGGATCAATTCTTAATGCTCAAGCCCTGGGCGAGGTGGCAGTCCAAAGAGGACAGTTTCAAGATGAGGAATTTTGACAAGAATGAGATAAAATGTTGATTCAGCTGCAAAGATTAAGAATCATAGCACTGCGTTTTCATGTACTAGCTCGTGTGCGTTAATTCGAAGAATTTGAAAGGTTACCAATGACACGATGCAGCGCTGKAAATTTTGATTCAAATTTTGGATGTTCTGTATCAAAGCTTGGTTTAGATGATTTGGCAGATGAATGGATTTCCCCATTTGAAAGTCACACTCTGCATAATCAAATCATTGTAATTTGCATATATGGCTGATGAATGATCGGTCTTCACCAAATCCGTGTTCAGTATTCTGTCTCGAGCACACCGTCGATGAGCCCAAATTCCAGAGCCTGCAAGTGCGAGAGAAGGCAAAATAAGTTTTCTGGAGTTCTAATATTATGTTTCCTATACTTTTTTTCAGTCGTTCACAGAATTTTAGTCAAGTAGCCTATTTTCTAACCTGGAGGTGGAGGTTTTTTTTTAAAAAAAAAAAACTACACAGAGATGGGTTGCAAATAATTTTTTGAATTTCAATCCGCCACTAGACACTGTTACCTCAGAAACAGACAAAAATCGATCTCTTTCGGTGTATTGTTGTACTTTCTCAAGAGGTTGTCCGGTAAATGCAGAGAACATCTTGTCAACTTTCTGCACCAATAAATCAAGGGAACGATTGGAATGATAAATTGCTTGATACAAAATAGACACAGCGCAAAGTGTATTACAATGGAAGGAAACTAGAAAACACAGCAAAGCAAGTAGTTTTAAATGATACAAACATATGCATACAACAAGGGCTGCAACTTCAAGATTGACTTTTGTAGGCAATGATTTTACCCTTCCAAAATATCCTAAAATATAAACAAAATAATCCTTACTAATTTTATGAATTATATTTCGATCTACAACGAGTTGTCTTGTTTGCTATAGCTTGAATCCGTATTCTAAGGATGCTCAAGATGTCTGCAGTTGCAATTGCCATATTATTCCCAAAAGACAGGCCAGATATGTCTATCAATATTGTGGCATTAGCAGTTAAACCAATTAATGACGATCTAAACTGGTTCACCACCTACTTGCACAATAGTGATTCAGGTCAGAATGTCACCAGGCAGAAATCTTCTGTTTGCAGTCAGTCAGAAACTACATACATGGTAAAGCCATTTCTCTGTCTCAAAGTTCTAAAAAAATTTTGCTTTAGTTATTGGTCGAGACTAGCAAGAACATAATGAACAATAGGCACATTTTTTCCTAGTATTATCCAAAGCAAAGGCAAAATGTAYGGTCAGTGTTCACTTCCAAGATAAGAAAGAGAGACTGACATGGCGTGATTGAACTGCTTCATTGACTTGCCGTCTAACATCTTCCACGTGACCCTGCACTCATCCGAAAGAATCATATTATCACTGAAGGTTGGTTACTCGATAATGATCTGGTTCTCACTTGTCACAAAGCGAAAAGTAGGAGGAAGCCCTATTATTACATGTATTGGACCAGTTCAAACCTAAACAAAGAGCATATTATTTGCTTAAACTTAAAAGCAGCAAACGATCTGGGGAATATTGTATTGTATATAACACAATAGTTCAAGCGGTCTTAAGTATTAGTCATTAGGGCAAAACAACGAAGGAGCCAAAGGGAACAGCACAAATCAAGACCCCCACCTGACCATTTTTGCTATATCATTCTAAGGTAACATATATTCTTTTCCATCCCTTTTCCTCCCATATTCATGTTTTTTAAGATGAACTAAGAATGTAATAAAACTTTAGCCATACCCCACATCCACTCTGTGGCTGATGAATCATAATTCGAGAATTCGGCATAGCATAGCGCATTCCCTTTTCTCCACCTGCAAGGAGAAGAGCCCCTTGGCTTGCAGCAACTCCAAAGCACACTGTGCCGACCTTAGGCTTTATCTGAGAACACAAATCTTATCTCTTAATTCTTATAGCTCAAAGAAAACTATCCTTTTCCTTCATATTCAAAATATGGATAGATTAATAGGAGGTGATGGCTGGATGCTCTAAGCAGCATACCAAATTATAATAAGGCACAATCATTCGATGAAGAAAATAGAATCAAAGGTTCAAGTCAAATCCCCATTTACATGCAGGAAGATTATCACACAAGATAAGACATGGTACCGAGGGCTTGTCAGATTCAGAAAAGTATTCTGATGAATATAACTGTTGACTCAAATCTTTCAATACACAAACACAATGAGCCCCAGAAAATGATAAATGAACCACCCAAATGAACCACCCACCCGCAAAAACAAGGTAGGTTCCACAATTGGAAATTTCATAAACAAATGAGAATGTTCCATAATTTCTTTATATTGCCCCACAAGAAAGAAAATTTTACCAGTATCATTTACACACTTCAAAATTTCCCAAAAAATTGACATGCCAATTCATGCAAACACCAAAGACATTCCAAAATGAGCCAAATTACAGATAACATATCACTATGAGAGCAAACACGCTAATTGTTCCATTTAATTCTCAATAACTTGTTTCTTTTAGCTTGAAAGTTGCAGGTTCTAGTTCTCCTTATCAAGGGGCTATCATATCTTCTTTAGCTAATTATTATTACTATTATCTTGTGCAAGCTAAAATATGAAGCATAGCATAGCAGATATTGCTACCCATAACAGTTCGTTGATTTTGTGAGCTTATAGAAGTGTCAGAAACACCCTTGATATCAAAATAAATAACTGAAAAAGTGGATATGGAAGTAAATATAAAATATAATACTGAGGCTTCAAAGAACCAACCAAACATAAAAAGGCAGTGAGGGAGAGAGAGAGAGATAGCTTTCAAATCTTACCCAAGACATACAATCATAAATTGCTAATACTGAGTATGTACTTCCACCGGGGCAATTGAGATATACCTGATAAGGTCAAAACTAGGTTTACAAACAAATTAAAAATAAATAATCAAGATCTATAGTTAACAGACTGAGAAGGGGAAAAAAGGCTTGTTTTTCTTTTTCGCATACCAGGATATCTGCATCCTCATCAATGGTTGCTAGAGTCACAAGCTGTGATATGACTCGCTGTGCCACAATGGAGTTGACAGGTTGGCCAATAAATATGATACGATTCCTAAATAACACAGACGAGAGGTCCAAAGGCCCTCCCGGTGTCATCACTGCAGGCATAATTGGTGGATTACCTTTTTTGGCTTCAATAGGTCTATAACTGTATAAAAGAGATAGTGTTCATCAGATTAATTATTTCATTATGTCAACAGAATAAAATCAGAAGGCAGAATATCCAGTTTCGGGAAATAAAGACAAAATATACAGGAATACTTCACATAAAGATGGTATTGCATAGACATGATTTACAATATATATTCCATCAAAATCATAAAGAAATGCAATACGAGTTAAATTGCAAATAAGATAATGCCGAAAAAGGAACATTAGGTAAATGCTAAACGGTGCAAACCTTGTACTGGCGTGAAGAAAATCTTTATCGTCGAGGCTTAGAGGAGCTCTGATTGATTTACTAGATAATCCTTCAAAAAGGAAAAAAAAAATCCGCATATAGTCAATTATATTGTGCAGTGCATCCACATAGGTGCCATTTCGATCATATATATCGAATATATCAATAAATGCAGCAGGTACAACAGAAATTCACTAGTTTCAAAAAATTATCAGAGCACTGTCACCGATATGCAACACGGAAATCGGTATTCGAAAGTAAGAACAAGTTATCTAATCTTAACATGAAGTCCTCTACAGAATTAGGGCATTCATGTCAGCATGTACAAAATCAGAAACATGATTGGCGCAAAAACAGTTTACCAATAGTTGAAGAGTCGCCATAGGGCCTCGGCAGGGTAGACACTACCGACCTCTGCGAATTTCTAAGTAAAAGACCCCAAAATTAGAGAAATGAAAATTTTAGAGTAAAATGGGAGGGGATTGCGCAAATAATTGAGGAACATAAGAAAGCAATACCTGCGAGAAAGTGGAGGGATAGATGAAGTTCTATTGTTCGAGGACACGGAGAAGGTGAGAGATGCAGTGAAGGCAGAAGCTGCCATTTCCAGCGAAGCTTGTGAGGAGGGCGCTGTGTTCTGGAGCAGAAGTTTCACTGTGAAACGAAAACGAAGAAGGAGACAGACGAAAAATATCAGAATAATTTTACTGGCGTGATCTTCCCAGAGTCCCAGTCCCCCATGGGAATTGCTTTTACCAATTTGCCCATGGCCCAAAGGCCCAACCCAGCAATACTTCCAATAGGCCCAGAAGCCCACCTTTCTCGGCCCAATTTTTTTTACTACAAATTTAATAATAATAATAAGGTCAATTTTCGTTTATTAGTGAGATAATTTTAATCATAAACTTTTGATTTAATCAAATTGGACCCTGAATTTGAATAAACGATGGAACTAATGTTCTAAGTGGATTAAGTTTTTAATTTTTGTTTAAAGATTCGTGGTTAGTTGCGAATCCTAAATTAAGTGATTAGATTAAGACAGTTCTATATATTCCGTTATTGTAATTAAATTTTTTTACGAAATATTTATTACATCTGATATTCTATTATTAAGTTTTAGCACAATTTTGTTTTCTTATTATTGTTTTAGACCACGTTTTTACTCAATTATATCATCAAAATTTTAGGTACTTTTACACCTACTGCTCAAGTATAATTCAAGTCATCCTTAATTTGTCTACTAGGTCATAGGTTAAAGTTTGAATTTGTTCTTCTTTRTTTAAAGATATAAAGATTTTAAATTAAATTTTGGTTTGGCTGTAGTTCTAATGATTTAATTAAATTTTGTTATTGGGATATTCACCAGAAACTAATAGAAACCACTTTTTTTTGTTTCTTTTGTCGTTGTATTGCAAGAAAAAAAAAAAGAGACTATTATTGAGTTTAATCRGAATTCATTAATAAAAAATAAAATAGATAAGTAATATATGTTAAAATTATATTTCAATTGTCAACCTCAAACGTAGCTAGTAATAATCTTCTACTTTGAGTTCAAATTCTTATTCTCTATGAAAAAACAAATTATATTTCAATTACACATGAATGTTGAGTAGCTAGTAAGTAATTTGAATTGTACTCATAAAATAAATAAATAAAAGAAGAAGATTAGTTTTCTTTTAGTTAATTTATTATTATTATTATTATTATTATTATTTTAATTTAGTTATGAGAAGTTTCCAAAATTCGAAGTTGAATTTCATAAACGAGAAAATAAAACTACTAGCGCTCGAACATGGATCTCTCTCAAATCCTTCTCGCCGATAGCCTCGCTCGATAAACCCTCCCTAACAGGTGAGAGGCAGATCGATAGAAGATTTGCAGTTTTCTCTGAACCCGGCACTCTCTTCTGCTCTCTTCACAGCACCAGCAGTTCGCAGCACAAGATCTGCGGTTTGCTCGCCCCCTTCTCTTTCGGTATTATCATCTTTTGTTTATCTCTCTGTTAAAAATCCTACCCAACCCGAAGAGGGAGGAACCTGAGAGGGTTTTCGATTTTGTTTCTTTAACTTATGTGGCCTGAATTGAGAGAATTTGATCGCTTTCACTGCCAATCTTTCCTCCTCCTGCTGGAGTCTTTTTCAATTTCCGCCCCTCTTTTTGTTTTTCCTTCCATTTTTGTTGATTCTGGTTTTGTTCTTCTATTTTTCTGGCATAATTTTATCCCCTTCATCCGCCACTCACCCATCATATCCCCAGCATTATGATTTTAATTTCTCTACTGAACCAATCAGAAAAGATAGCCCGAACCCTCTTTGGGTAGATGCCAACCAGAACTATGTTCAGTATCTTTCTGAAGTTTGAACGGGTTTCTACCATTCATTGACAGAAGCCTTCTTTCTTTCCTTTTTTTTTTTTGGCCACTTGCATTGTGCAATATGCTGTTGTATAGTTAATCTTCCATTTTCTTGGGTTCAAAGTTTTTTTAATTATGAATCATTTTTTATGTTCTGCATTATTTAATTCTCTTTCAAGTTTTGTTTCATTGGATCTTTGTATATTTTGGTACTAGAAATCATCTTAGAAAGCACAGTGGTCCGGTGAATTTCCCCCCGGGCTGTTTGGTAGTTAAGTTTATTATTATTTTTTATTTTTATATTTTTTTGATATTTATGGGTCCGGGTCAGCTTGCGCGCACCTCGATTATTCACGGGTCAATCTATTGACCCTACTACATTTAGTTGATAGTATATTAAATCCTAGGTAGATGGCCACCATGGTTTGAATCGATAGTTAAGTTTATTAACTTTGCTTTGACAGCTTATACTGTCCTCTGTTTGTCTCTCTTAGTACTATGGACGATGATTTTATGGGAACTTGTTATTTTTCCATTCGTCTTCATAATCAGTGTTTTATGTCTTCTTTTCGAGATACCATCTTAGTTTACTAGGTGATGTCCTCTACATAAATAATTTTGATTCAGTTCTCTATTATCTTTTTTGGAAACTTCCTACATTTTATAGGTTTTAACTCTTATTCTTGTCTCTAAACTTTCCTACATTTATTCTTTTGGTCCAAAACCTTCAAATGTTCTGTTTTTGTTTGCAACTTTCAAATGTTCTGTTTCAAATCTTAAACTTTGCATAGAAAAGCTACTTTTATCCTCATTTTTCATATTTCGAAACCAATACTTGATACATCATGTGTGACTTCAAACACTTATCTATTACTGAYATCATCTATTGAAATTAATGAACAAAAAGACATGCTTGTTTTTGTGTTTTGTTAAACAAAAAAGGTAGGGACAAGGACTAAAATACGTTCTTTTGTGAAGTTTAAAGCTTAAAGTAGAATATTACACAAYCTGCATTCCCATGCATTTTAACATTTCTCTTAGACTCTAAACGCTCACCTTTTTGGCTGTTATATATATAGGTATTTTGATATGGACAGCTTAGTGGACTCTTTAAATAACGCGTACCAGGAGTTTGTTGCTGGGGCAGCCAATGTTCTTGAAGCCAACGAAAGCTCTGGGGCTCAGAAGACAGCAGCAACAGATGCCGCTCTTGAGAATTTTAAACAGAAATGGGAGCTATTCAGGGTTGCCTGTGACCAAGCAGAGGAGTTTGTGGAGTCYGTGAAGCAGAGGATAGGATCAGAGTGCCTGGTGGATGAGGCCACTGGTTCACTGACTGGCAAGTCTGGGCAGCCTGCCGCTGCCACCGGTCTTCCACCGATCAGTGCCGTTCGGCTGGAACAGATGAGCAAAGCTGTGAGATGGCTTGTGATTGAACTGCAGCAGGGCTCAGGAGCTGCTGCTTCTGCTTCAGCACATTCTCACCCTTCTGCCCCTTTTGATGCTAGATTTACCGAGGATGCAGCCCAATAGGTACCTATCTTATAAGGCAAATGGAACAAGTATTCTGTTTTGCATGAAAAATGACTCACGGGGTGGGGCATTTGCTGTGCAAAATAATTGTCTTCAAACCTTGATTGAATGGAAGAAATGGAAACCATTTCTCCTGTATCTATAGTTAACTAATATACTTTCACGTTCTTGTACTTGTTTGAGTTGTTTTTGTTAAGGGTTGGGTGCAAGTGAAATAGTCTCTAATATATATATTTCTTCTCTTCTCCCACAATATATTATAGGACTAGCTGAAATTTCATTGATCGTCGTTGCTCGAAACATTGAGAATATGTTAAACGATGAAAGTTATCATAAGTTTGTGGATTCATTAGTGTTGTAAAATCTAACCTGTGTTTCTTTACCGGTCATTCTCTTTCTATTTTTTATATATGCCAAATTCAAGCCATAACATTGGTTTCTCATAGAACTCGGATAATGTGGGTCAATGAAAAAAAGGTTAAAAGGGTTGGAGGAATGAGTTCAAGCTTGGTGGTTACTTACTTGAGGGGTTTCTCTTGCAACAAAGTTTAGTTGGGTCAAATAGTTCGTCTGTGGGATTACTCATGTTGTCCCATAAACCGATACAATTTTTTTTTTTTACAGGTTTGCTCTGTTGTGATCATATCCCTCTCCTCTTCTCATCTTCTCAATGGTACAAGGGATGTATGATATATAACGTGAGATTCTTTTTTTTCCATAACCAGTTTTTACTCGAGGATTTGGGGCATTTGAAATCTTGGGTTGGTAATTTCTCGTTCGTAAAATATGTATGTCTTTCAAATTTGAGAATGTAAATAATTTATTGCTCCAAAAAATAAATAAAAAAATAAAGGGGAGTTCTAGATTTTTCTTTTTTTCCGACAGATTCCTAGAAGTTATTTAATTTATTGTCTGAGCAAAAAAATCGGAATAAATTATTTCCTATTAAAGTGATTCGTTTAATTTTAAGATAAAAATGGAGAAGCACAACAGTAAATCTAATGATGTGAAAAATTACTTTGATTCAGGGAATATTATCCTTAGAAAAAAAAGACTTGCCTCGTTTTATTAAAATCTAATACACATTTGGTCTTCATTRTATTATATAATTTTAAAAGTGTTGATTTATTTTCTTAGTTTATGCACAATTCCACTTGGATTCTAATAATTTAAAAAAGTTTAATACTATTTTGGTTAATGTATTTTTAGCTTTTGTTTATYGTATTCTTATACTTCCAAAATGTCTATTTAAGTCGGTATATTTTCAACATTTGTATATTTTTATTTTTATACTTTCAAATCGTTGGTTTTGGTCCTTGTATTTTAAGTGATATTTTTTTCTTATTTTTTTATTCGAATATCAATACGATACGACATTCAATGATTTTTGAAATATAGTCATACCTTTGTATCAAGGAGTTTCATTGTGTATATAATTTGTGTTAACAAATTTAAAATAGAGACTCAAAAGTATATTGACTAAAAAGAACCAAAATTAAAAGTATAGGAATCAAAATAATATTTAAAGYTTTAAAAATTTCAATTTCGTAACCAAATGATTTTCTCTCTTGCTTTACCCTAATCCTAAACTTTAATATATTCAATTTTCACAATTGGCAAAATATAAAACAAAGTAAAGGCTAACGTCACCGGTTCAATATAGTAACRACTTATAATATAGAGACGTTTTGTGAAATTTGATAAAGTCATAGAGACAAAATTGAAACTTTTAAAATCATTATAAACAAAATTCAAAGACTAAATTGGAAYTGGTTAATTATTTAATGCCATTACCTTTGTTAATTATTAGACCTGAAAAATAAAAATTGTTCCATGATTTAATAGGAATTAAAATTTAGGAAGATTCTTTTTCCTTTTAAAATTATATTTATAGTGATTTATTAACGACCCAGAATTTTCACTAAAAGATGTGGCTTAACGGTCCCGCTGACTCGGTAACGGTAGAGAGAAATTAGAAAATAACGTGCGTAAGGAGTGGTTGGTTCCACAGGGCGCGAAACTCACTCTCTGCAAAATTCTCTCTGCAAAATTCTCTCTGCAAACACAACAGCTCCACCATCATCAGAAAAATGCAACACGCGATCTTCAACTCCATTTTCCAACGAACAAGATGATGATGACGACGACAATACAACTCTACCTGCTGTTCCTCAGATGATTTTGATTTGATTTGATTTGATTATCTGTTCTCGTCGTGATTTGTTCGCCATGGAAGCTTTGATCGAGCTCTGCGACTTGATTGCGCAAAACCCCTCCGCTTTCTTCGAGAAGCTTGCGTGGATTTGCAGTCGCTGCCCTTCATCCGAGTCTCTTCTGGCCGAATCTCCTCGGATTTCTCGATCCCAGCTGAATGCCGTGCTTGCTATTGCTCGATTTCTCTCCAAATGTGCCGACTCGGTCGAGCCCCGTCCCAAGGCAGTCGTCATCGAGTTTCTTCGCTCCATACCTTCGTCCTTTCACCAGTCCTTCTGGCCGCAGAATTTCGGAAACGATTCGATCACTTTGTTTTATTCCGAGTTTTTGAGGTATGTGTGTAAAGCGACAGAAATAACGCCGGATTTTTCTTCAGAGGTCGCTGTGTATACTGGTGAGGTTGTGGCGTCTGCTATCAGTTCTAGCGGGGGGGATTCGAGTATATCTAGGTCTTTTTTGATGGTTTTGTCGCAGAATTTCCTCCCGATTTTGCCTTCTGATGCTAATAAACTGGTTGATATGGTGATCGAACGGTATTTGATGACGGGCTCTTGTGCGCCGAGGGAACTGATGCAGGGGAACTCCGATTCTTCTGCACCTCAGCCTCATGAAGGTTCAAGCCCTCGAAATGAGGGGAGCCATGATTCGGGTAAAGTTGGCGATGATAGTATTTCGTCGTGGAAGAGTTCAGCGACTTCGTATGGCAGTGGGATTCTGTGGAAGAGTAGCGCTGATCAATTGGGTTCGATGTTCGGGTTCAACGATGGCGGTGGAGGTGGAGAAGTCTTGCTGAAGCAACAGGTTGCTATTTTTGAAGAGGAGTCTTTGGAAAGTGTAGAGAAGCAAGCAATTGCGTTCGAGTTGCTCGCTCACATTTTGGATAAAGCCCGTATTGACTCTTGGCTTTGGGATCAGGTGAGAGCGATAGCGAAGAAGCAGCTCCAGTCCCTTCTAATATTTGTAAAGGTAAGCTCTTAATATCAACAATGGCTATTAATTATGAAAGGATACTGAAAAGTTTGAGGCGTAATATTTTGTTTCCCCCATTGTACATGAGCAGATAAGGAAGCGAGATTGGAACGAACAGGGGTCTCTTTTAAAAGCTAGAATAAACGCAAAACTCTTGGTGTATCAAGCTGCAGCTAAATTGAAACTTAAGAGCCTTGGTACTCTTGATTCTGAAGGAAAAGTGGCTAAGAAGTTGGTATTTGAGACTTTCGCCTTATTAATGGACGCTGCTGAAGCATGCATTCTCTCGATTTGGCGAAAACTGAGAGTTTGTGAAGAACTTTTTAGCTCTTTCCTTGCGGTTCTTAGCAAAATTGCTGTTGCTTGGAAAGGTCAGCCATTGCGTGTGTTGCTTATCCGGCTTAAACCTCTTGTTTTAACAGTGTGTGCCCAGGTATATACACYGAGAATTGTTTTAGATTTGGAACTCAGGTCAACCCAAATATGCAATAGACAATTAAGTTCATTAGATTTTTTAACTCTCCGGTTTTGCCTTTTCAGGCAGATCCCACTGGCAGCAGCCGTAGTGTCATGTTTGAGACCGTCTCCAAGACTGTGTGTGAGATAATCGAATCTTGCTGGAGCAAGGAACGGGCTCCCATCGACACGTTCATCATGGGATTGGCTGCAAGCATCCGTGGAAGGAACGATTACGAGGAACAGGTTTTGGGTTTATGGGATTTGGTTTAAAATCCACCTTATAACTGAAAAAGGTCTCTCTCTAACAAAGAGTCTGAAATTTCTCTTTCAGGTAAACAAAGAGAAAGGGGTTCCTCCTCTGCAACTTAATGGCATACGTCTGTTAGCTAATTTGAACGTTGCAGTGAAGAAGTCTGAAATTGTAGATATGATCTTACCACTTTTTATTGAAAGCTTAGAAGAGGGTGACGCCTCAACTCCCTGTTTATTACGACTCCAAGTACGAGACCCTTGTCTTCCAACAACACATTCAATAGGACTTTGATAAGATTTCATGTCCTTTTTATTAAAAATAATTGACTGAATTGCAGCTTCTGGATGCTGTGTCTCGCATGGCAAGTTTAGGTTTTGAGAAGTCTTACAGGGAGACGGTTGTTTTGATGACAAGAAGCTACTTGAGTAAACTTTCAAATGCCGCAGCTCCTCCTCCAGAGGGCAGTGACGTTGCTCCAGAAGCAACTACTGAACGTCTAGAGGTGATTTGTCTTTGAACTGTTACTTTATCAGAAATCCTTACTCTGTCACAGGAATGAATGCTCACTGGTTCAATTACATTCTAGACTCTTCCCGCAGGATTTCTTCTTATTTCTAGTGAACTTACAAGTACCAAATTGCGTTCAGACTACCGCTACCGTTTACTCTCTCTTTGTTCAGATGTTGGACTTGCTGCCGATCCCAGAAATGCAAGGTAGAATCCATTCCATCCTTGTAAATATTTGCAACCAATCAAAGTCTTTTATTAATGTTAAATTATAAGTTTCGAACTGTGTCTATCTACTTCTCTACTTTAAAAAATTTATAATTGATCTCTAAGGGTGATGTGTAATCTCTATACTCTTATGGAAGATTTTGATAGGATTTGAACTATGTTATTAATTTTATCAATCTAATTAAATTMTTGAACATGCCTATACATTGACCTTAAATAATACAATCAAAGTGTTAAACTAATTGACGACAAAGACCTATTAAACTTACTGAAAGTTGATCTATTTATAAATTTGGTGATGAAACCTATGATTTTACGTTATTAGTTCTCAGCTCATATATAATTTAGGTCCTAATATTCATWTATGCCATTTTAACTCTACCCATGCTTTTTTGCTCTGGTTCTTTTGAACCATCTCATTTTCCTGATGATCCAATTTGTTGGCAGGAGTGGGGCCGATTTTCTTGGGCCTCTACTTCCTGCTGTAGCTGAAATCTGTTCAGATTTTAGCCCTACGGGCGATGTTGAACCATCACTTCTGAAGCTATTTCGAAACTTGTGGTTTTATGTTGCTCTTTTTGGGTTGGCACCTCCAATCCAGAGTACTGCAGCTCCCACAAAAGCAGTCTCCACCACAGTGAGCAGTGCGGGAAGTGTGGGTGCGACTGCCCTTCAGGCTGTTAGCGGACCCTATATGTGGGATAAGCAGTGGGTATCTGCCGTT